CATAAGATTGCAACTCTAGTGCCACTGTATCAACAGTATCACAAAATATACTACAATATTTAAGTATTGAACTTTTCGAGTCAATTTAATTTGTATAGTCAAATATCACAAATTTGTGTCAAGGGCATTTGCAATCAATAATAAATACAGTATCAGTTGCTTGTCCCACCCCAATGATTAAGAACATAGGTAGAGATTTTGGGGGTGATGCAGGGCACACGCCACGGCCCCCTTCAATACTTAGAACATCCCTGCTCCTTTATTTTGGAAGAATTAAAAACATTTCCACCATAAACTGATGCAGAAACTGCATAAAACTGGCGCAGGAAGATTCACCAGAAGATGATTCTCAAAATTTCCTGGGGAAGGACCTCTGAAACTCCCTTTTCAAGTGTATCCACCCCAGTGAAATGAAACCTATGCCCTTGTCTGAGAATAAACAGAAAACTAAATCAAACTGAAACGCTTCAAAGCCAAATTAATCCCAGTTTAATAAAATACTTAAGGCCCCAGGAATATGTTAGGTTTAATCTTCTAGCTGTGAAAATGAAATAAAAAAGAGTAATAGGCTAAATTGCAGAATTCATCTCAGTATTCTTTCTGGAGGCATAGGGTATTTTGACGTTATCACAAATTGGCTAATATTATTCAATGATATTGTATTGTGAAATATTTTGTTGACACTTAGGGTCTAGTGAGACTTACTGCTACTCAACTAAAAGTATATTTAAATATTAGAAACATTCTTTTCACACCGCTGTATTTTGCAAAATTCAAATACAAGGCTATTAAGCACTTCTTGTCCATCTTTTTGTCTCATAGTCTTACTGTGTCGTCTTGGACAGCATCATATATTACACCCAGACAGAGAGGAAAGAAACAAATATAAACCACTGGACCCCAGTGGTCAGCACAAAGCTCCTGATGTTCAACTGCTGCCGTTGCCACACACATACACAGGTCCTTTAAATCACAGCAACCAACAAAACCACTCCAAGACCTTTGCCTTGAACAAAACAACAACGCAGCAAGTTGCCCAATGTGACACAAACAAATAACAAATTAGAACCAAGGATAAAGGCTATACACTGAACTCAAGGTGATGTCACACAGGTAACACAGAGGCTATAAGGATTTAACAGTTGTGATAAACTTTTTCTTCATAACCAACAATCTGACCCATTTTTCCTTTATATTTTCGCTCTACATCCTGAAAGCAAAATCATAATTGCTAGTTTGAAGGTTACTTTTACTCTCAGCCATAATTACTGTGATGGTGAGCAAGGATTAGGTGTGATTCAGTCTGCAAGGTCACAAAACCTCAAAAGTCTAAACAGAGTCTAGTTTCCCTAAGCTGCTATGGTGCTGAGTTCATCACTGTTCCTTCCTAAAAAATACAAGGTAGCAAAACAAGAGAGCTTTGAGCTTATCATCTTCAGCAAGAAAACACAACGACAGCTGCATGGTCCAACTTGCCAGCTTATGATAAACGTGATAATGTACTGTAGTAGAGATCCAGTGGCCTCTGCAGTGCAGTGCTGTCACAACTGGAGAAAAGCAAAAGCACTGAACTGACAAACACATTCCACAGTCCTCCCCAAAGCCTCTCACCAGACCTTTACTTAGCACTGACTGGTCAATGCAAATGGGAATAACTTGATTAAACAAACAGCCTTTGTGGCTATCTTTTTAAGATGGCGACAACAATCTCTCTCAGGAACAAAATATAAACTTGTAGTGACTGAAGATCATATATATGCAAAGCATTCAACTGAGACATGTGATTCAAACTTGTGGGCAAAGCCACCAGCAATTTTAGTCACTTAATTTGCCACAACATGTGACATATGCTAACTCACTTCCATTACTAAAAGTTAGCATGCTTTAACAGGTACAACAGAGGCACTTACTCACTGCTGAATGCACAAAACTGAGCAAAGCAAAAAGAGTCTACTAATCTAAGAGTCTGAAAACAGCAAACAAGGTTTTCACCTGTATCTATTGAAGGAAGTTTTACTGAGACGTCAACTGCAAAAGACTTGAATAATACAATGCAATCTGCCAGCCACCTCTGTGAAGGTTATAATGCTCATTTTCTGTTTAAACTGTGTCATAGAGTTGTTGCCTTATCTCTAGGGGAAATGTTGAGGCTACAGTTTGTGATGTCGTGGTACTGTTATTACACTGTAAGATGTATGCAGGTGTATGATCATCTGTAAGTTTGTCAGCTGACCATCCTATCATGCCTCATCCTGCGTGAATAACCTGCTATGAAGTGGGGCATGTTCAATCCACAAAAATCAATATGAAACTCTCAATAACTGGATGTGGTTTTGATTAATGGAACTGGATTCATGCTGTAATAGAAATGCGTACTCCTCCAGTCCTGGCAGCAACAAAGACATGGACATCCTGCATAATCACAAGAGCTAGCACTTGTATTTTTGTCCTAAAGTTACATAAAGTAGGCTCATGGAGATTAACAGTTCTACAATTATAGAGGACATATTGAAGAGCATGTCCATGGCCTTTCATAAATAATCTTGTTTTTGCATATAGAAAATGAAAGCAACAGTAACAGCAGACATTCCTCCTTTTCAGAAAGCCTTAGATCATCATGATAATCTCTCCAGATGGGTGTGAAATCTTGTTTTATCTGATAAAGACGTCTGACATTTGATCACAGAAAAGCTGAACCAAAAAGCAGACTGCATTTATTTTTAGCTCATAATTACAAGAATGTTTTCCCTGTGGATTTAAATAAGCAGCAATATCAGTGATTTAAGAAATAATGTTGATAGCTGTAGGAGACCACAGTTCATCACTACCAGATCTACAATATCTATCTATCGCCTGGGATGATGGTATTTGACAGCTAGCACAAAGCCCTTTGTTAAAGAGATTACTTTGATCTGTCTGAGGGGCGGGAAGGGGATTAATACATCGCTATTTGATAACTGTTGATGGAGGCTTTTGTTTGCAGCCTTACTGTATTGCAATTATCTGCTCTCCTTTGTCATTGGGTTTTTACTTAAAACATAAGTCAACAAAGTTCAGCCTCATCTCTACCAGTAGTACCTAGCTACCAGTCGTTAGCAACTGTAGGCAAGATAGCTAGCTGTCTAAAATTAACGGTTTTCAATTTACAGTAAGTCCATTTCGGAGCGGGTAATTACTGAAAACCTAACTGCTGTTTTATACGTTTATTACAACTGAATTACATTTCGCTCCTTTGTTAGCATTCGGGGTGAAAAAAAGAGACTAGCAGCTAGCAGTGTCGCTGTCTGTCTGGGTGGGTCTGAGCATCTTTGCCGATATGGCTAACGAGCGGCTAGCTCGGAGCAGCCAGGCTGTGCTGATGGCTGGGCCTCCTTCATAGGGTTCCCTCAGCGGTGGTCTGAGGGCGACCTACATAGAAGCGACAAAGTGCACGGTGTGCCTTTACCGAGCTGGTTTCAGGGTCTCGAGGCTTTTACCTGCTGATTTTTTGGGCGAAGGCGCGGCGTTCAGCCATGGCAGTGGCCGCTGATGTGCTTTGAAATTCCCAGGCAGGCAGGCAGCAGGCAGACTCCGCTTTCCACTCACTCACTACGGCCACAGGGAAAACGGGAAAAACGGGAGAATGGGATCATTACCGTAATCACCGCAATGGTGTGCAATAGAACACACCCAGTGAAAAGCCCTTGCGCACCGTACTGTGGGGAATACACTCAAACAGCTGGGCAGCTTTATTTAAAGATTCTACATAATATTCACCCTTATAAATGTAATTTATCATAATGCATTAATACTCCAAAAATGTGAAATATACTTTTTCATTGTTATTATCAGATTATTTCTTCTTGGTCATTAACTATAAGACAGAAATGACCCCATACTTTGATTGACAGTTGTCAGTTTTATTTTAAATCTGATTTTACCTGGAAAATTAGACATACACAAACATAGAAGGCATTTGATCCTTTTAAGACAATGCAAAATAAACACAATACACAAGTAGTAAGTGAATAGTTGTATAATGTATTTTATATGTGTAATGTGCAATTGCATTTCATTGGTAGTCCTGTATTATATAGGCTAATGACAATAAAGCTTAACATTTATATTAACCTCCTGAGACACTAGCTTTTGTTTGGTATGTGTTTTTGATTTCTCCTAACTATTTGGGATTAGGGGGACCTGATAGGTATAAAAAAAAACAAAGCTTTTTCTTTGAACAGCAATAGTTTTTGAAAAACAAGAAAGATGTCCTTATATGGGGAGGAAGATCAAGTTTAAATAATTTTATCTGAAAATACTTTTCCATTCTCAAATGAATAATAGAAAACCAAATTATTATCATTATTATTACTTAGTTATTGTAGTTAATGATGCTTTCAGTAATGTTTTTATTGATTGTCACTGCTTTTAAAGTGATCATTTCCCTTGGGAAAATTTGGTAGAAGTCATATGATCTATATTTTGTGGAAAAAAAACGTTTTAAAATCAATAAAAAAGCTAAAAGGCAAAATATAAAATAAAATATTATTGCAATAGCAAAAACTGTGGCAATAATAAGAAAAAAAATCTACAACTGATCAAATTAATTAATGATACATTTCAGTGACCCTGGCTATAGTAAATGTTTGGCATGGTGTTTGATGTGACCATGCATGTTTGACTGTTTATTTCGAGTGAATAAAGACACTTGTATTTTTGAATGTCCATCAAAACAGCAATGTAATCAGTGTACCAGCAGAAATTAATTTTAAGGTGACGTGCTAAATAGTTTGGATAACAGATGCTCTCTGGCTTTTTATGCGTCGCCATGCCTTTATACAACAAAGTATGTATGTTTTGTTACACGGAACACCCTCAAAAAGCGGAGCATTGAGTCTAGACACTACGGGTCATCGAAAAACGGCTTAAACACCGCCCGCTCGGGCTACCTTGATCACTATATCGATGGTCTACTTAGTCCCGGCGGAAACACCGCGAGATCACGTGATTTGACTCTTTTACTTCCCCAAAGTGTAAACATTGGCGACCGCAGGGTAGTGTTAAGTTAAACAGCGAGTCATGGGCGATATATAGTGTTAAACTATTGGTATTACAATAATATACAATGTTGTTAAGTATGTACTGAGCTACAGAGCGACCGGAAGTGGGAAAAACTGAATCAAAGAAGCTCTAAGGTAACGAAGTGCTTTCTACAAGCTGTGATTACACGTAATTCTACATCGTGAAGTGATACTGATACAGTCAGCTCTCTTTCTCTTCCCTCTTTGTGCGTGTGCGCGTGCATTGTGCACCAGGGTTTGTCAGCCGCGTGGGAATGGGTTACATTCCTTGCTGGTCCAAATGGACAATAAAGGGAGCGACGAGGTGGAAACATTGAAGACAAAGTTCTTGTCTGTGTGGCACAATGTGAAGTACAGTAAGTGATTTGCTTGAGGCCAGTACACACACAGACACACAGCCCTGCCACCCGAGCTCAGTCCTCTGTGTCCACTTTGTTTCTAATGTTTTTATGCATCGCTGCTGGGCTGTGTCGACCTGCCTATGTAGTCCACAATCTCATTTTCTTGACACAATTTGAATTAGGAAACCTAAACTGGAATTTATATAGGTGAAATCAAAATCAGCTTTATTGGCTAAGTATGTGTACGTTACACATACTAGCAATCCCAAGGACAGTTTCCGTGGAGATAGAAATAGACATGCAGCTAAACACAAGGACAACACAGCTGAGCAAAGATGGGTAAATATACACATATAACTTTTGTGTATATACAAGTAGATGTAGGTGTGCACAATGCTGTCTATACAAGTCAAAGTCAATACAGAGAGATCAACAACATATACTACAGACACAAGAGACTTCACAAACAAAAACAAGCATCAGAATCAAATGAGACAAGAACCTACTGCTGTTGAGTCAGCCCTTAAAATAGTTCTTTGTCATTCTGTCCACACTGGTTTGTGTGTAACACTCTGTTCTTTCAGCTCCCCAGGACTAAAGTTTCTGTTTACTTAAAAACACAATGGCTATTCTAGTCTATTATGCAACAGAAAGTGAAGAAAAACTTAATATTGTAGTAGGCAGGAATCGTGGGAGCAACCCAGATCATTGAATGATGGGTGCGCCAGCCAACTGAGTAAATAGAATGTCCCAAAGTTTTGTTTTTAACCATAACTAAAGCATAACATATTGTCTTTTCATTGTGTGTCATAGGTTGGGCTCTGAAATCAAAGACCTCGTTCAGTAGGAATTCCCCAGTGCTTCTGCTCGGAAAGTGTTACCATTTTAAGGCTGAAGGTATGGTGCACACACACATGCACAAACACATACGACTACAATTAAGATACACAATGATGTATGCATTCATGTGCAAAGGCTTGACATACATACCCATTTATACAGTAACAGCCATATGGAGTGTAATGAGGACATAAACACACAATGTAAAACAGTTATAGAACACCACTCTGTTGATCATATTTAATTTCAGGGACTACAAATGTCGACAACAAAGCAGTGTAGCTACCACCAGCATTTATTTGTAACGATGCAAGCCTTAAACTAGGAATTCATTTTCTGAGATGTTAGTAAAACAGTGGGAAGATATTTTACTTGTGTCATTATGTTACAGCCCTTTCTCAAAAAATAAAAATGCCCACTATAAATTTATCTGACATGACAGACAGACATCATTCATGTGGTCCAAAACAGAAATAGCAAAAGGAATCTTAAAATGAATAATACATTATTAACTTTCTAAACTAGACCTTTCCACAGGACACAAGATAACAAACTACCAATCATAGATCTAAATGTGGTTTGTGTGATTCAGATGACGACAGTGTCACAGAAGCTTGCTACGAAGCCTCCGATGAGGACTTCGTCATGGGGAACGTGGACGCTTTCCGCAACGATTTTGCGTCCCGCCTGTGGCTCACCTATAGGGAGGAGTTCCCTCCCCTGCCCGGCTCCACGCTGACATCCGACTGCGGCTGGGGCTGCATGCTGAGAGCCGGGCAGATGATGCTGGCTCAGGCGCTTGTTCTGCACTTCTTGGGCAGAGGTGGGTGGAATGATGGTGACCACACCTGAGAGACTGTGAAACACAAGATGATAAATGGTATAGAAAAAAAAAATATAATATATTTTTTCCTACACAAAATTATGTTGAATTTTCTCTGGCTTTAATCTAAGAATCCCAAACGTTTTGGCTTGTTAAACACAGCAATGCATATGCTGTTTGATTCAAAAGACATGAGCAATTTAACCACGTCCTTCTCCCTTCTTAAAATGTTAATGAATAATTTTAGATGCCTAAAATGCTAAAGGTATCCAGCATTTCCCAAGACATGTTTAAGCCATTGTTGAAGTGCCTTTGGAGTGCTGGGAGAGATGCAGCCAATATGATAGATATTTGGTGCCTGCTTCATCCTGCAGCTCCCCAGTGTTCATTTTTGGAACTACTGTATATCAATGTGGAGATGGGCACTGATATATCAACAGCAGAAGTCATAATTTAATGATACAAAGATCTAAATGGGACATTTATGCAGCATGTTAACTACAGTGGCTGAAGTTCTGGGCAACATAAAAATGTGGTATATCCTAGTTATAAAGAAACTGCAACTGTAACTTAGACTACAGATTATTACAGGTAATTTTGGAAGACACTGCAGCTGTCTCTTGTGAGAAGTTTCTTTATTTCTTTTAAGTCTAGTGTCTCTTTTTCTAAGCAGGAAGCCAAACTTGTAGCTGGTTTAGAGAGTTTCCTCTCTCTCAACCTCAGAAGTGAAAGTTTAATTTAATTGATGCGAGGCATTTAAAATGAGTGAATTCCTCATGTCTTTGTCAGATCTATTGTCTCTCAAGTGTCCTCGGCTTTACAGGTCCACATAATGAGATGACTACCACTTTAATGCAGCCATTTAGAAAACAATATTTAAAACTTGTTCGTCTGTCAAATCTAAAATATGTCGCTAATGAAATATTTCTCTATAAAATGACTAATGGCCACTTAAGGATATTTATTGATCAATTTCACTTTGATTCACTTTGGATCAAGGTCATTTTGTTAATGCCTTAGACTCTGCTCTGGCCCATTTTATAGCCACGACCACTCCCTTTCTCTCCTCCTTCAGCTCCCACCCTGTTTGTAAGGCTAAGGCACCGTTAAAGTGAAATACTGGGACACTCAAACTTATAATTGAACGGAATGACGCCTATGCTGTTACTGAAGCGCACATACATCTGTCTGTTTAAGGCAAAAACCTTAAATTTCACTAGTTCTGAAAGACTTTTGTTCTCGATGTTGATACTCTAAAATGAACTCTGATGTGCTGGATGATCAGGTTCAGAGAGCCTCACAGATACCTGGTCAAATAGATGCCTTCCATAATTTTTTAAGGTTTTGAAAACCTTGAAAAACATATTTTCTGTGTTGTCATGTGACAGTAGTTTTATCATATCTTTTTAATTTTCTTTTTTTCATTATTTAAATCTCATCACTTGAAGTAGAGAAAGCAGCAGCCACTTCTTCTACAAATTTGATCAATTCCTAAATGAGGATTTGTGTTACATATTCATTTCAAACTTATAAGAAACTCTGTAGTCTTGATTGGGGATTTCTTTCTTAACGTCTAAATTTCCCATATGCCATCATTGTTTTGAAAAAATAGTTCTTAGACCTTCTTAATGACTTTAAAACATTACTTTGTTTTATACATGACTTATTCCTCCGCAGACTGGACCTGGTCGCAAGCCTTGGCGCTCCAGCCGTTGGACACAGAGACGTGGACCACCGCCGCAGCCAAGCGTCTGGTGGCCTCTCTGGAGGCCTCTCTGCAAGGTTCCCCCAGCCCCTCCGATCATGGATCACCACCGATGCACCAAGGCCAGGCTCAGGGGTCTGCAGAGGAGGCAGATGCACATTTGAAAGAGATGTACCACCGCACCCTGGTGTCCTGGTTCGGGGACAGCCCCTCGGCGCAGTTGGGCCTCCACAGGCTGGTCCGCATGGGCCTGACGATGGGGAAACAGGCAGGGGACTGGTACGGGCCTGCTGTGGTGGCACACATCCTCAAGTAAGTCTTAAATTCAACTAATAAATTTGATTTAAGAGTAATTACTGTTTTAAACATTGCATATCACATGTCACACGCACCCTACTTCTGACTTTGATCACATAATGATTTATTACTGTGTAGGGCATAATAATTATCAATAATAATTATTGATTAATACATGGATATATTTTTGGGGGGACAATCATATTAATTTGATCTATAAATTTGTATATAAAATCTCATTTAAAAAAGTATTTTTAGCGAGCTAGCTTCCCTAATATCTATAGGTAGTGTGTTGCATAGTTTTGGGGCATAATTGACAAAGGCTGCATCCCCGATCTTCTGTCAGCTGTTGCAGGGAACCTCCAGTAAACCAGCAGCAGATGATTGCAGTGTTCTTGGAGGCAAATAGTTATCAAGGCAGTTAGCAATGTAGCTCGGTCCGAGCCCATTTAGGGCTTTGTATACAAAGAGAAGGACCTTAAAATCAATTCTAAATGTAACAGGATGCCAGTGCAGAGCAGCTCAGACTGACCTGATGTGCTATCTCCTCTTGATTCTGGTTCATAGCCAAGCTGCAGAGTTTTGAATGAGCTGAAGTCTCTCAGTGGTGTTTTTTGGGAGGCCAGTAAAAAGTGTGTTACAGTAGTCGAGTTGCCTTGAAATAAAGGCATGAATCAAATTCCTAGCATCTTTTTCATTTGGAAATGGCCGTACCTTGACTGTGATTCTGAGGTGGAAACGTGATGTTTTCATCACCTTGTTAATGTGGGATTGAAGCTTAGATCTGAATCAAGGATCACACCAAGACTTGTACCTTCAGATTTAATCCAGGGAGTTTAATTCCCACGATTATGAAGCAGCATTTCTCTTTTTGTTTTAGGGCCAACAAGCAGGATTGATATTACTAAGACCCAGCAGAATGTTCATAACTCCTTAACTCTTTGAAGTGACTCCTGTGTAATTATTATATTATTACACCAACTAGAAAGCCTACACATAGCTGTACTGTAGGGGATCAGAGTATTTTGTGTTAAGTCAGCTTTATGCAATTGTGCAATATATTAAAATGCTCAAGTTGTATAAAAGCTTGCAGATAAATGAAATAATGCATATGAACTAGCATATACTGTATACCATAGAAGATTTACAGCATCTCACTCATTCAGATATATATTAATGAAAATATCTTTGAATATACACACTGACACTAGTCGACACTAGTTAACTTGTTATTAACTTTGTAGTATCATGGTGATATACAGTATATAGTCCTGATGTTTACTTAGCATAAGCTCTGCATGTAAACATTTAAAACCCCTCACTCTCTCTGTCTCCTCTCTCCTCCTCTTCTCCGTCTCACTCTTAGGAAAGCTGTCGAGGAGGCGATGGACCCTGGCTTGGCGGGTATAACTGCTTATGTCTCCCAGGACTGCACAGGTATGAAAGATGAGCCTGCTGTTGATAAAAACAGGATACTGGGCACGACGCCCAAACTGACCCTTCTTCTTCCACCATCTCTCTCTGCTGCTGGGAGACTCCGGCGCCGCTTAGAACGGTGACAGGAGACTCACTATATCTATTCCCCGACAAATACATCGACTCCAAATCTATAACAGCCCGCTCCAACCTCTTGTTAACCCCAATAACTTGGGTTTTGATTCATGTTTGTCTACTCCATAGCCACAGCAGAAGATAGTTGGTGTGAGAGCGAGTGTCTTGGTGTGTTATGAATCTGATATGAGGGAGGCACAGAGAGAATGTAGGAGGGAATTTAACCGTCTGTCCTTAATGGAGTTAATCAAATGTCAATCAAATAAATTGTCACTATTTTGCTAATCAGTTGTTAATATTCCTTGTGATTTATCAAGCAAATATGCTAAACAGTTTCCTGCTTTTCTGTTTAATACCAATGTAAATGTAATTCTTTGAGTTGTGGACAGTTGGTCTGACAAACAAGGAATTTGGAGACATTATCTTGGGCTCTGAGATTATGCAATGGCCATTTTACACCCTTTTCTGATGCACTAGAGATTAATCGATTTTACGATAATTTGGTAAAGTACTTGACAGATTGACAGACACACAAGTCAAACAAAAGAAAGAAGCATATTTGCCCAAAATAAAGTTTAAAGACACTCGTGATTTGAGTAACAAGAGCGCCAAGGTCTCTTAATTTTAAAAGCCACACTGTAAAATATCTCAAGATGAAGTGACATTTATGATACCTGTAACAAACTCTTACTGAAGTGCGACAATTTTGCAGACAGTTATGAGAAAGATCTCATACCACAGAGACCACAGAGAGCCTGATGAACAAACAGATTGACAGACAGACACAGCAGACACAGAAACCGACAAATGACCTCTGTGTTATTGATCCTCCACAGTCTACAGCGCCGATGTCATGGATAGCCACAGGGCACTGAGAGCAGGGCAGACCTCTGCGGAGAGATCAGATGCCCCTCCCTCTCCACAGAGCGACCAACCAGTGTCTGCCTCCACTCCGTCCGACAGCCGAGCCGTCATCATCCTCATCCCTGTGAGGCTGGGAGGGGAGAAGACAAACCCTGACTATTTTAACTTTGCAAAGGTGAGAGATACGTGTAGGTCAGTGGCAGTTTGTAGAACCTTCTGTCAGTAAGATAACTTGATCTTTTGGTGTTTGATCACTAGGGCTGGGTATTGTTACCCATGATCTGGGTACAAAAGGATCGAATGCAGGCATTGTTTGACTGGAGAAGTTTTGATTACTACTTGGTTCTGGATTATTTTGTAGATAATGAAAGCATTGCGTACCAATACCCAGCCCTGTTGATCGCCAAGATGGACACGTAAGTAAGGGAAATTATCATACTGTAAACAGGAAGTAGTCACTGTGGGGATTGGTGAGTTTTACTGTCATTTAAATATAGTATGTGGGGAAACACAATGAAAGTATTTAGACTCGGAGTCAGATGTACTTTGTATTTCTCTGTCCCTCTCTCTGCATTTAGAGCATACTGAGTCTGGAGTACTGCATAGGCATCATCGGAGGGAAGCCCAAACAGGCCTGCTACTTTGTAGGATTTCAAGGTTAGTGTTAGCGTCATGCAAAACAGAGAAAGACACACACACAGAGAGGCTGGTGCAAATAACAGATTATTTTTGCATACTATATACTCTTCTTATGTGAAGAGACAAAGTAAGTTAATGTATTCCTGTTTGCGCGAGGAAAACGGAGAGGAGTGGAGATGGAAGCAAGTGAAGCAGGGCTTACTTTATTCTCTCTGACCCATCAAAGCCTCGCCCATTTATCACAAGTAAACCCCTCAAGTTGTGAGCTGTAATTGATTTCCATAGGAGGCATGCATTAAATTTCATCCGGGCCCCAAAGTGAGCCACTCTTCATCACCTTCAGGAGCCAGGAGGAACCTTCAGTTGTACATCTTGGCAGTCAATATTTACGCATTTACATTTTACCAATTTGAAATACAGTGGTGGATGATGTCTAAATGACAAGCAATACATTCTCCCTGCCAAGGCGCAGCTCTGCGCAGCATTTATCATATGCAAATGGTCGAATATAATTGCGTGTTTGTAAAAGTAATTCCCCCACACAAAAATTAAATGACAGCCCCTTTTTTTGTGGAAGTAAAGAATGTGCTTGTACAAACGCATCTGATTATGCGGAATTTAATCCACCCTGGTGGATATTAAAAAGCAACAACCTTCTGGGAGGCATATTTGACGCACACAAGCCTAACAGTAGGCCAAGCGGGTGACTTTGAGCTACTCTGCATAGAAATTGGAGAGAAGCGCGTTTTTGTAATAATCCGATGTTTTTGAATAACTTGTCTTTTGTTTTGTCCTTGCAGATGACAGCTTGATTTACATGGACCCTCATTACTGTCAGTCTTTTGTGGATGTCAGCACCAGCGATTTCCCTCTCCAGGTAATGTGAAATTACACAGACGAGCTGACTGGGGCCCCAGTAATGTGAATTTAATAGTTTCTGTTAGTACTTAAGGGTATGAATCTTAAAGCAGCCCTCGGCCCAATTACCGAGTCCCTATCTGCTGATTTATTTGCTGCTCAGAAGTGTGAAGCTGCCACTTAAGAGAAATACGGCAAATACCGGATCAGGTACGGCGAGCCTGAATATTTCAGGACCCATACATAAAAATCAGCACACAGCACTGTATAGCAACTTTGTTTTATGCTTTTGCATGCAGTGGTATACAATGTGACAACACACCAGAGTTGTAAATTTATGGATGCTGTGACAGCAGATAAATAGGATTTCATTCATCAAATGATGCAGAATACATCTTATTCGCTGTTGACGCTGCCATGCAGTGTATGTATGCCCCGCAGTTGTTACACATCACCTGGCCCTTCAGCTTGATGAATATTTTCTGATGTATTTTGTCTCTTTTTGTCTAGTCGTATCATTGCCCCTCGCCAAAGAAGATGCCTTTCAGCAAGATGGACCCAAGCTGCACCATAGGTTTCTACTCTAGAAGTGCTCAAGACTATGAGAGAATCAGCCAAGAGCTTTCTAAGGTAGGGAATAGTACAACACTACTTAAAATTTACTAACATTTCACAATTATTATTATTATTATTATCATGTTAGATTAATTCTGTTTTGTGTCCTGCAAATGTGTGGTAAAAGTTGACCAGTAGGTGGCACCCTTTAGCCATGAATCTGCTCCTACTTTGCTTCCTTAACCAGTCAACATGTTGGGTAAATGGTGCAAACCAGAGTCTTCCCTCCTCAAACCAATCACACTTCTGCTCAGAAGACTCTATAGAAATTATATTAAAATGAATATACTGTTATTTCTAAGTGAGAACAATTAAGGTGTGATGAAATACCCCTCGTTAGGTTACAGTGATGACATTCAGACTGTTATGAAGTGCACAGTATGGCGTAACACCAGCACTCCTCTCAACACACTGGTCTGTTGTTGTTCCAGGTGCTGCAGCCGTCAGCGAGGGAGAAATACCCCGCGTTCACTTTAGTGCAAGGTCACGGCAGAGATTACAACCTGTCTGCAGGCCTGACCCCGGAGAAGAGAGAATGGCCCTTCATCCGTGACCCGCGGAGGACGGTCACCACTGCCGGGGACTTTGTGCTGCTTTGACGGCGCTGTTTAAAAGACTACTGACAGCCAGGGAACTTCTTCTTCTAATGACTCAAACTGCTCGATATCCAAAGCCTCGTGTCTGAGCCTGACGTGACGCTGAAGGTTACGGAACTTTTTTTTAAAAACTACAGTAATTTAGTTTATACGTTGTTGAAAACTTTGTTGCCCGGCAATGTGGGCTTGCTTAACATTTTGTCAGGGAACCTTGAGACATTTCTGTTGGTGCTCTGCTTAATTTAATGACCGAAAATGTTTTATATACTCATCTAAAGAATAGGAACATCTAGGGGAACACTATTCATTTTGCACCGTTATTTGTGATTTAATGGACTTGAGACAAGGGGTTGATGGCAACGATATCAGTGTGTCACATTTTGAGAGATTTGGTGTCGGATTTTTTTGCACATTACATCATGTTGAAGAAGTCTAAAAGGGATTTGCTTACAATGACCACAAGGTCCAGTTCAGCACTCCCACATGGGCATGTTTTCAAGGCTAACAGTGTCATAGTTAACGTGACTAAAATCAGTGTTGGCCCACTTTAAAATCTCTTCACAGGGCCACACCTACAGCATTTAGACAGTTTTCTGTTGTTAGCACTGTGATAAGAGGAGTATTGTAAAAGCCTTAATTAATATGGGCCAAGGCCTCTCTCTTAAGATTGAGCCAAGTAACTTTTCCAAACTTCTCTGCCAAAAACTTGTCATCAAACAAGATGAATTCTTCACCCGTCTGAAACACCTCGACAACAGAAGCATATGGGATACCCTGTTCATAATCCTGCCAACATTTCTTTGTATTCACACTAGGGCAAATTTCTTTCTCCGAGCAATAACACATAATGGTGTTGTATGATGATATTTGCTTGCTTGCCTTGTGTGCTTTTGAGTAGTATTAATTCTGACTGAGATATGCATCGCAGTGCAATGTGACCAGTGGGGACATGAAGTCATGCGCTATGTCTTACCAAGCACTGTCTGTCATAAGTTACCCTTTACAATTGAATTCTTTACATGTAAAAGTATTTACTGTTTGTCTGACACACTGAAGTCAAGACATAAAAATACTTCTTAGTCGGATCAGATAATTACAGTATATAGTTACACCACAAAAAGAAATCCAAAACTACATCAGCTTTTAAAATCAATATTATTATTTGTATATGTTGTGTGCAATTAACAATTTTGGCCAATTATTTCAAAGCATTTTCTAACATTTCATGTTGTATTCCTAATGTGTATTTTTTATAGTCTCCAGCATTGAGTTGCTAAATGATCTTTTGATTTTTTTTAACTCATCACCTCTACGTAATGTACACTTGAACATAAAAGAAGTGAAGAAGTGCGCTAGTTCACATGTTAGGCTGCAGAAGTTGATCATGCACTTTGGTTTTTACCTTCAAAACACTGAAGTATTCCAACTGTTGAATATTTTTCATGTGCTTTTCTGCATTAAAACACCTGCATTTCTGTTTGCATAAATTAACTTACAAAATGTAAACTGATTTTAACCCTGCCAGGAGAAACAAAGATTTTGAATAAAGTCAAATATTTGATTTTCTTAACCAGTTTTCTTCTTTTGGGTCCACTTGAAGAATTTGACTCTAGTAGAATAAAAAAAAATAGTTTGCTTCATTTTCTGTGCGAGATACAAACCTCAGTGGTGTGTTGAAATGTATTCAATCCCTTTCTCTCCCGGTCAAATGTAGTAGATTAAAACTAATCGTACGTGCTAACCATCTCTACAGCCCATTAACCAGGGACCGGAAAAAATGTGACCCAGTGACACTGGCGGCAATTGTGTTCCTCTGCGGAGGAAAAGAAAATATCCTTGTGTGCAAAGCTCTGTTACCATGGATAATCTGTGTGTTGCCCCCTTAGTTTGAGCTATGCCGGACTGTTTTCCCGCACAATACAAATTCTTGTATTATGATGAGCCTTGCTTTTTAAAGGAGGGAACTGTCCCGTCTGTGAGGGAGCCGGGGCAAGGGTGAGGATGGATGGACAGACAGGAAGAAGAATCCCTCATCTGTTCTCTTCTCCACCATTGAGAAGCAATGGCAAAACACATAAAGGCATCATTTAGATCCCCCCGTCTGATCTGTGTCTTCCTCAGTGTCTTTTTTTTATTTTATTTTAGTGGACGGCCGAGCGGCTGTTTGGACAGAGCGGGAACATCAAGTATGCAGGAGCAAAGAACCGGCGGCATTCTCCAAATCTGGAAGATGGAAGGGTTGAATGGACAGGAGGGAGGTGTGGGGAGGGTGGGGTGGGACATTTGGGGATTTTTGTGAGAAACATGAAAGAGCATTTGTGCTGGGGGGCACACAGCGCTCTGAGGGTTCACTGTGTTCTCCATGTATTTACAGGGGATGTATGAATATTTGATTAATGAGACACAGGCTCAAGGGAAATGCAATAAGCGAGCGGTGGCTTTACAAAGCAAGCCGATCACACACACACATACGCATGAAGACACATACACCACCCTGTTTCCCGTTTAACACAGCTGCCTAAAGTGTCATTGACATTGCAGATTCCTGAAAATCTAATCTGCAGCCGCGCAAATTCCTCACAAAGAGGGAGTCCATGAGAGTCATTCCTCTGTTCCACAGATGGATGGATGTGTGAGAGGGAGGGGTGCACGTAAAAACCCAGAGACGCCCAATAAAGATTTTATTTTAGTGTCATCCACAGGAGGAAATGGCTTGTGGCATGCAGCCCTTAGAGGGATCAGCAGGGAAGAGGGATCAAGTAAGACCTTCTAATATCTAGTAATCATACCTGTATTAGGGATAAACCCCTGATTAGGCTTAGTCCTGCAGGCTTCACTGGGACAAGGAGACCTTTGGGACTTAGTCCATGAACTAAAGTTGGGATCTGAGAACAGCTGGGTTAATCTTGATACCAAGATAAACTGTTAAAGGTTGAGATGTGAGATGTTATCTTCAAAATATTACAGAAAATGGGAAAGAAAAAGCAGATACAAAAGACTTAAAGTATTGGTAAGCTTCTGAAAATGTGTCTTCAAGATGAAACTTTGAGATAAAACTATAAAAATATAAGTGCATGTAATACAGTATTAATCATATCATTTTCTTGTGACATTACGCATAATGCAAGAAGGTGCTTCTTCCCTTCGAGGCCTACGAAAGCCACACATATTCTCAGCACTGAGTGGGGTGAGTCTCACGCACACCATGTCAGCACATAAAACAATTCTCCTTTCCATTATCAGATTATCAAATTAGCGTAATCTAGCTGTGCTGAAGAAGATGACTGTGATGCACCACAAAGTGTCGTTTCTACTCCCTCCAACCCTGCAGTTCTCAGGATTTCCTCCAGCCAAGATGAGACCATGATGGATGACACTGAGAACATCCAGGAGAATTAGATTTAACAAAAAGAGAACGACACAGGGAGAAATGTAATATGCACAGTCTGTGTACGTGTGTGTGTGTGTGTGTGTGTGTGTGTGTGTGAGGCTGTGTGGATGTGAAAGAGCTAAAAAGTGATGTGTCCGGTCTTTTCCATTCATGAGTAGTGTGTAAATTTATATGGATGAGTGTGTAGTTTACACATGTACGTCTTGTGTGTAAGTCATTCTAAATCTTACGTGTCACACTCCCTCCTTGTCTTCACACCAGGTGCAGGGGTGCTAGATTTATACCCAGTAGCCCTTGCCCACCCTTGTGGAATGCCATGCATCTTCAAACAGGTACTTCACTTTGAAATCTCATCTCGGCGTGATATCTCTAGGCGGCTAAATATATCCGGCTCCCGGATCCCGCAGCCGTCAGAGCGTAAATACCGCCTGCACTGCATCAGACTGCATTCAGAGTCTCAAGTCTGTCCACGCAACTGTCCACTTGTCTCCACCCGTCTCCTTCTACCAACTCCGCCCCCCCCCCATCTATCCCGTTCAGAGGAGCTCCTGGAGAAGTGCTGAGGCATTGCATGCCTCACACATCTCCTCTGGGTCGAAGCCAGAAAGATGTCATGATGCTGTGATTAATCAGCACCACAGGACAGGAGCTTTAAGGGTGCTCCACCATGTGAACATGTCCCACAGCACATATTAGGGCAAAGGTACTTCAACTTTATTCACACATGATCAAACAGGAGACATATAATTTCAGCCGAATTCTTGTAATGTACAGCTCACCACCAGGGCAGAATCAACACATGGCAGAAAAAAGTATGTGATCCTTTAATGAACCAAAGACTCATCAGGGGACATCACTGACTCTGAGTGGATTCACATAATGAGCTGGTTATCTTACAAGTACTTTATTTTTTTTTGCAGAATAATTATTTTAATGATTTCAATATATTGCAATTTAAAGCCAACAGACATCAACGTATTCATGTTTAAGAGGAATGTAAAAGGTTTTGGATTACCTGGACTTTAGAAAGTGGATGGACTTTTCAGTGGCGTACAATTGTTTTGACGGGCCCCAGTGCATGCTAAGATGGGCTCTTGTGCATACTATTATGCGCATATCATCTCATCACATGATCAGAGACTAGAGATTGGCTAAGATCAACATACATATTACCCAGCAATCATCTTTGCATATCTGCATATAAAGAAATCATTAATTTAACAATATTAATAGTTTATTTTAGTTTATTTGGGATAAGCAGTATAGTTTTGTTATAACTGTTGACTATTTTACAATAAGAAAAAAAAAGATGACAGAGATTTGTTTGCCTTTTTCATATATAGACTAGCAAATGGCACTGTTTTTAATTTAATGAGAGTTCTTCATTGAACACAGGCATATTTCTGAGGTGGTAATCACTCATAAGGGCCCATTCTCCACCCAACACTTTGTTGGAGGCCCCACTCTCTCCATGGGACCCCCCATTTCACGGGCTCCAGCACAGCCACCGTGCCTGCACTGTCTTTATTTACGCCCCTGGGACTTTTCTACCTATGCACACACACACAGAAAAGAAGGTCAACAAAAGACCAACTGAGTTTCACTGGTTTTATTCAATATAGTTTAGAGGTCAAATAGAGATCAGTTTAGGTCTGATAAGAGTTGTTACTATAAATGTTGACATCATTCTTTACAGTCACAACACCTTCAGTAAAGAGTAGCCGAGAGTTGGTGTAAACAATCACTATTTGAACTGAAATGAGGGACTTGTCTTTAGGACAAGGTCGGTGGGGACTTTTGGAGAGAAAATATTCATTGCTTCATCATAATTGAATTGTTTTTATATTAGATTTAATATGGATAGGTAACCAAAAAACAAATAAATGTACTGTGTGGCATCATAGATCAGTATGGCCATTCCCTTTGTGCTTTACTTTACTTAAATAATGCAGCAGAACTCATGAGAGGAGGCTGTGATTGTTTTGCATCAGAGTCTTCCTCTCTTCCTGCTGAGAGGAGTGTACCATGGCAGAGGCCCAAAGCAAAGCTCCTCACCTTGTGTTGGCTAACCTCGCCTGCCTGTGACAACAAGAAGGGCACTGGAGTTAACATTTAGATAACGGATGTGTGTGTCGTTTTCAATTTCCATTCCTGGTGACAGGGAATCTTAGGAGCACATCACGGGTTGTGTATGTGTGTGTGTGTAGGTGTGTGTGTGTGTGTGTGTTGGGGGGTGGGGGCACTCCTGTGTTTCCTGCATCTCAGGGGTGATGTGGAGGAACGCCGAAATTCCTCATTCTGCTGTCCTCTGAGGCATGGCCGGCCCTCTGTCAGCTTTTACTAACCAGATGCATCCGAAACGGGCGCCGAGGTTGAAGGCAGGGGATATTGCCTGCTGTGTAGCTGTCGACTTGTTTCTTATTGCATGCCTGTGTTGAGCAGGGTGGCAAGTGTGTTGTGTGTATGCGTGGATGGGAGGGTGGAGGTTAGGAGGGTGTCAGCCTGTCTGTGTGTGCGTAAACGTGTGTGGCAGGACATGCTATGAATTAAGGAGTGTGTATCAGCCACACACACCCACACACACACACACACACACATCACAAGTCTTTGCTCAACCTGACTCTTGGATTGTAAGTAGCATCAGTCTCTGCAATGCTGTGGCCTGTAAGCTTTGTCCAGTGACTGCCTAATGACAATGAGTGTGTATGTGTGTGTGTGTGTGTGTGTGTGTGAGTGAGAGAGAGAGAGAGAGAGAGAGAGAGGAATAAATCAAGGGAGAAAAACTGAGAAAAACCCATGTGAGTTTTTTTTCTTTGGCTTTTTTTCTCTTTTTTGTGTGTGTGTGCATGTAACAGTGTGTGTCAGTGTGTGTGTGAAAGGTATCCTCCATCCTGTAGATTTGTGTCTATGTGTGATACTTTGCAATCTCATCTCCATCTAAAACTCCTGCAGGCCCCGTGCACCATTATCATGCAGTTGCAATAAAACCCACAGTAATTAAAGGGGATCTGGCTGTAATTGCCTCAGTGAATCAACTTAATCAGCACCTGTGCTCACAGTCAACCTAATGGTGCAATCTAACCTTTTAATACCCCAGAAATTAGAATTGTAAAAAATTATACACCTGATAATCATTCTGTATTTTGAAACTCTTGAGTGGACAATGAGTGGACCATTGT